AGGCCACACAACCAGTCTGCTCTTCCAGGCCGTACAACCAGTCTGCTCTCCCAGACCACACAACCAGTCTGCTCTCCCAGGCCACACAACCAGTCTGCTCTCCAAGGCCATACAACCAGTCTGCTCTCCCGGGCCATACAACCAGTCTGCTCTCCCAGGCCATACAACCAGTCTGCTTTCCAGGCCACACAACCAGTCTAATATCCGGGGCCACACAACCAGTCTGCTCTCCCAGGCCATACAACCTGTCTGCTCTCCTAGGCCGCACAACTAGTCTGCCCTCCCAGGCCACAAACCAGTAGCACTCCCAGGCGACACACACTAGTCTGCTCTCCAAGGCCGCACAGCCAGTCTGCTCTTCAACCAGTCCAAACTTTACACCATTTTTTCATTATGTTAGCATTTTTATTTTATCTCTACGCCATTTAATCATTATGTTAGTGTTTTTATTTCATTCTAATTGGCTGTCGTTGAGGTTTTCTGTACCGTAACAGAGAAGCAAGATCTATCAGATGTCGAGTGGGCGTGGGCGACGCCCCCAAACTCTATTATTTCAGGGCAAAAATTTATTATTTGACGGCAAAACACCATTGCTTCACGGCAAACTTTAATTAGTTGATGCAAAGCTACTTCGCATCATAACTCGCATCACTTGTCGCAGCAAAACGCTCCGCGTCAGGGCAAAACTCTCCATCTCCCACGGCGGAAGTTGCCATGATATCCCATAATTCCCACTTCTTGAAGCCATTTTTCAATCAAACGCAAGACTTGTCAATGTCGACACGGTTTAGTAACTGTGATCACCACCGCTGTCTGCTGCAAATTCGTATACATAGCAATTATGTATAGTAGATAATATTTGGTAATCGTAGTCCTAAGTAACTATTAAAAATAGCTAGACTTTTATTGTCTGGTTCCTGTTTTGGGGTTTGTTGCTTGTTGGAGTCGTAATTCCGAGAATACTATTTTTTAATAGAATGATGCATTAACACGAATTCATTTTTGAATGACGCAACTCATTTTGCAATTTACTTTTCCCCAAAAAGACGTCATATTCAACAAAAGTGTACATTTGGGTTTACATTTACAATTTATTATATTGTTCGAGGGGAAAATATGATTACAATATTAAACAACAAAATATCTTCATCTTTTGAGGTAGTCCTTGGGTATACGTCCACCCTCTTACTTTCCCCGGTTTCATATGTCGAGGCCTATGACCGGGGAAGTACGGTAAAACAATAATTATGTATGGTGATCTATATATATACATTGATTTTTTACCATTAACAATGGTTGGCTGGCGACGATTTTTGGCCTCATATTTGCTAAATATCTGATACTTAAACTGTGTCCAGAGATGAACTGGACGATTTCAAACCTTGTATCATGAATATGCATATTTGCCCGCATATTTGATTACACGCACAAGTCAAAATTCGAACAAAAATGGTCAACTGACGGTCATTTCGTTGTGAATCATTTCTATGTTGATTCCTCACCAATATATTGCACATCAGTACTTTACTAATAAGTAATAGCATATGTTGTGTTAATTTCTGATTTGATCACATTTTCCGAATTGACTGCTAGTTTGCATAAACTCTTAAAATTGCAGTCTGTAAAATACAATTATTAACGGGAAATTGTGGGATACTGGATGGTGAGAGTGAGTGTGGTGATGAGTAGACAGACATGCCACCAATGTTCAATCAAATGCATATTAATTTACAAAATTTGCAAAACTACTAGTAGTACAAGAAAAGTCGTAACTGCTGGAGGATGCTCATCTAGTATTTTCAGTGTACCAAGTCAGTGTTTCACGTCTTCGGAAAATTTTCCAAATAAATAGATATGTCTTATGTAATGAGTCGTAAACAGTTAAATAAATAATTAATATCTCGATCCGAGTCATGCCAAGTTTATTAAATATGTCAAACCTCGATTCGATTTATTGCCAGTTAATTACATGAATCACCTCTACCCAAGTCATGACAAGTTTATTAAATATGTCAGTCCGACCTTCATCCGAGTCACGGCCAGCTGAGTGAATAATTAAGTCCTCGATCCAAGTCATCATGTCCATTGATTAAATCGATCAGACCTCGATCCAAGAAGTGAGCAGTTGATTAAGTAGGTTAGAACCAAATAAGAGCCATTACCATTTCATCTATTAATGCACAAAGCATTCTGTGAGGTTTGGAATGTTTTTCATATTTGCAGTTCATAACATGATAGAGCACATTGAGATTGACGTGTTGCGTTGTGACAAGCTTTTGTCGCGTTGTGGTTGCTTTAAACGCAATTTCAACGACAAGTTTCATAATTCGATTCAGTTGCACCTTACAAACATACAAATTAATTCTTTTATCCCCAATGATGCACCTGTGCACAGTGAATGGCTTTTTGGGAGATGTTCAGTCACTACAGACTAAATTTGTGTTACATTCGACATCAATGAGGCCGCTGTGAAAAGATGTTAATTATTTTGTGCAAATGTTCAACTCTGTTCAAAGCTTTGTTTGGTGTTACATGGGCGTTTTAAGTAGGTTCACAAAAAGTGTTAAAGCGGGGATTCGTCACCTGCGCATGCGTCAGGTGGCCATAGCGTGTCTTTGTTTACAAACAAGCGTCTACCCATGAGCCTTTGCGTTTTAACGTGTGCTGCTATCGTCGCTTGGAACTCAATTCCCGCGCGTGCGCAGGTGACGACCCTCCCGCATTAACTACACTTCGGAAAACTTGCTGTTTGTTTTTACCTAATTACTCATTGGATATTACAGACAGACAAATACAATATTGTTTTCAATTAGGTGAGTTTTCTGAATATGTGAGTTATAATTTGCTGTCATTAAATAGCGGTAGTTTGCCACCAAAGAGAGGCCATGGTTTTAAAATGTGTATGCAAATTTGGATTTCAATCACAAAACTGTTACCACGATGTTGAATACCAGCAAGTTTATTGCTGCAATAACTATAATGAAATGAATATACATACTGTAAAATTGAAAACAAGAAAGTTAGTCACCGAGGTAGGTTATGGTGTTTACAAAGAGATATGACCTTGAGAGTAAAATGATCCCACAGTTTCGGCATATATTGATCATGATTAATGGACTTATTAACGTTCCTCCAGCGGGCGCACTTTGTCCCAATGAGCCCTTCATTTAGGTTTTCGGGACATCAGAATAAACTGTTTAATATTTAAAAAAAAAAATCTTTAGCATATTATCCTAGCGATGCGTGTTTTTATGCACGTGTATTGATCGTACTTACTAATCGCATGCACATATTGCGTAACGTGCATGATAAGCCCCACTTTCTAGCGATATAGTGCTTCTCTGCTGTAAATAGACCGAAATTAACGTCGTACAAAGTAAAGTATAACAGTTTCTCAACATAGTGTTTTTGTTTTTGACGTCACCGTGATCCTCTCTTCAAGTACGCCCGCTGAAATGTCATTTTGACATTTAAAGTTAAATATTTTCTAAATTGACTAAATCTTTCGTTGTGTATTGATTTGAGTTACACAGGTCCGTAGTGTTGCAGCAGCTTCTGCATGTCCCCGTAAACTTGTCACACGTAGATTCCTCTTCACAATCATCGGAACATCCGCGTCGAAATAAAATAGGCCGGCCGAAAATTTTGGTATATTCCGTCTGAAAATCATAAATAAAACAAAATCTAATAAAGTCAAATATGCATGACACACTGAATTGTATGTGGTGGTGGGGTAAGTTGGTTGGTGTGCGTGGTTGGAGGGTGATTTGGACTTTTTCTGCAACATTTGAATACAAAACAATTACTTGAATTATTTCTCTTTGTTCTTAAAGTTTATTTTTAACAAACTTTAATGCATTCTTTAACGTGCCAACTGTAATACAGAATTATCTTATCTTCAAATGTCGGTTGTGGCGCTATAATCAGATGCACATACGAAGAATACTTACGTAACACAATCCATCGCAATTGGTTTCCTCAATACTATCACTGGACGCATTAGGCATAAGAATGCACTCCGAATCGATATCATAACTCGTCATTACATATTCACATTCAAAGCATTCTAGCGCAGAGACGTTCATGTAGATATCTTGAAGCAATGAATATGTAAAGTATTAGATAAACAGTGAAATGTTAATTTTAATAAATATGGTTATATCACGCATGCACATACACACCAGCCATTCAATGCGCATGTTCCGATGTATTACTACTCACCAGCATGTACTTACTTTATACTACCGATGTACTTTTCTAACAGTACGTAACATTAATTCAAGGTGCATGTACAGATTTAATAGTACGTACCAGTAATTCAATGTGTATGCACTGATGTAATAGTACGTACCAGTAATTCAAGGTGCATGCACCGATTTAATAGTACGTACCAGTAATTCAATGTATATGCACAGATTTAATAGTACGTACCGGTAATTCAATGTGTATGCACTGATGTAATTGTACGTACCAGTAATTCAAGGTGCATGCACCGATTTAATAGTACGTACCAGTAATTCAATGTGTATGCACTGATGTAATAATACATACCAGTAATTCAAGGTGAATGCACTTAATTAATAGTACGTACCAGTAATTCAAGGTGCATACACTGAATTAATAGTACGTGCCATTAATTCAATGTGTATGCACTGATGTAATAGTACGTACCAGTAATTCAAGGTGTATGCACTTAATTAATAGTATGTACCAGTAATTCAAGGTGCATACACTGAATTAATAGTACGTGCCAGTAATTCAATGTGTATGCACTGATTTTGTAGTACGTACCATTAATCCAAGGTGCATGCACTGATTTTATAGTACGTACCAGTAATTCAAGGTGCATGCACTGATTTAATAGTACATACCAGTAATTCGAGGTGCATACACTGAATTAATAGTACGTATCAGTAATCCAAGGTGCATACACTGAATTAATAGTACGTACCAGAAATTCAAGGTGCATGCACTGATTTAATAGTATGTACCAGTAGTTCAAGGTGCATACACTGATTTAATAGCACAATGTCAGTGACAGTGTATACATTTGTCACCATGCAAAAACATCAGATATGAGAAGATGCTGTCACTATAGCTACCAAATGCAATGCTATTAAATAACGTTCTAAAACTTACAAAATAGCCGCCATTACTGTATTTATTTATTTAATAGTCACAACTATTTTAATTTCTAATTGCAATGAAATAATTGTCAACTTACAGAACTTTTTGATGTACGGGCTATATGTATGACATTTGTATGACATATGTATGACATTTGAAGGCTATATGTATGACATTTGAAGGATTAAAAAAATGATGTTTCTGAACAAGTCATTTATGGATAATAATAATAATGATAATAATAACAATTTCATCCAAAGTGCTATGCTACAATTATCTACATGGGATGATAAACTACAATCAAATGCATTTAATCAACACTGACTTATTTAACTTGTGAATGATAATACACGTTGTAGCAATTCTTCCCGAGTGATGGCAGACGGTCGACGGTAATGGTTACGTATAATGAAAACGTATAAAGAAACTCCAATAGAAGTTCGTATTTTGTTTATCTCAACATCAAAATCACAGTCTCCTCGATACTCGCTGACATTGGGAGAAAAAAGCAAAATTGGCAGATGTAAAGTTACTCACTGCCAGGTTTTTAACGTCACGGTATGCTGCGGCCGGGCAATAAAACAATAATGTACTCTTTCGCTCTGATATCACATTTACTGTACGACAGAGGCGGCGTGTATACGTCCGATTAATGATAACAATACTTACCCGCTTCGTAGAAAACAACAACGAAGCCGATGGCGATGAGTATCCATTGCTCTTTGTGCATGTTGACTTAATCCAAACAACTTGATCGTCATAAATACGAAGCTGTTACAGGTTACAACTAATTTAAACAAATACAAACCATTCCGGGTATGGAATGGTTGATTTATAAGATGTAGTGATGTACCAGGCAGGGTAACAACAACGTGGGTGTGACTTGCATTTCAATGACTCGTGAATATAAAAGTTTAGTTTTCACAAAATATTGTTCAGTCTCTCTATAATATGGGAGGAGTACTTCGACAAGATTTTAGGGAGGGATAAATTAAATAAATGTAAGCCGAGAAACGGCCATTTGAAATAGGAATAAGAAATGGTTATAATCATCTTATTTAATCGAGGCGCCACACGCGCGTATATGCACAAAGCCAGTCATGGGTCTGAACACTCAAACGTGCAGAGGACCAGGGACTGTGTGCACTGATACCGAGGATCAGCCCAGGGACTGTGTGAACACTCAAACGCACCGAGATCGGAAACTGCGCGTCGCTTTGTGGAATTCAGCAGCGGAATAACCCAACTACATTATGATGTTTATAATGATGGTTCATTTTTTGTCTCTGCGAAGTGAGTTTAAAGAAAAACACAAAATACATACCAATATAGACCAGCTAAAATCATGAATAATCCTGCAGCCAGTGTATGTCTCGTGTGTCATGCCAGTAAACTCAGGCACCAAATACACAGGGTGCGTACTAAATATGATACTGAATATAATTCAAAGTCGACACACGTAGCATTATATTCAGTTGGGTCGATGTATTTATTATAGAAACTGCTCATAAATACTGGTATATATATTATTCATGCTGCGATGACACGCTTCACAGATCACATGCCCGTATGCTAGGTATTGTTGGGCGGTTTTACAAATAAATAAAGAATGGTTATTTTTAAAAATTTCCCTGGATATCAATGTTTTAGATCTTTCCAGAGTAAGAAGTTTTACATACGTCAGTGTCCAACCCTATTTTGTCATACCCGAGGCCGGTATCCGAGGCGAATTGAGAAAAATAAAGGCGCGTTGTAAAATGATGTCATCAAGCTACGGTTACAAACGATTGGTGTTTTACATACATACATAGCATTACCTAGATTTTAACATATCTATGCGCCTTGGTGAATGCGCCTTGTCACATCAAACGCACTTCCTGTTACGCCACGGCGCACTGTCAAAATTATCATGCACGAACAGTGGTACCAGTAGTTGGTAATCGTGGTCATTGGCAATTGTTGTACAGGGCGGTGGTCGTCCTGTACAACATTTGCTAATGACTACGATTACCAACTACCACTAAACAAATAATGCATTTTCACGTGTTGTATATGTTTCTGTGAGTCCCACATCGACAAGACGCGGCGCGACGGCTGTGGCGCATTACCCTTTTCACCACCAGTTTCCTCTTTTCATCACAAATTCATAAAATAGTCCTCTTTATGTCTGCTCTTTATTTCAGACGACTAGGACAAAAATAGCCAAATTAAAAAAACAAAACTGAAAATAAACTCAAATTTTGCCTGTTTGCACCAAAATTAGGGTTCATTTCCAGAAATATTGGAGAATATAAGAAAAAGTGCAGAAAGTCTTGTGGTGAAAAGGTTAAACCATATGAAGGGCCATTACCCGAAACTTCTAGTTATATTAAATATTACCAAGGACTACAATTACCATCTATCATTTTCTGGATACTATATGGATCGTATCAGCTGTTACATATTTTCATGGTAAATTTTAATAGAATTTTAATAATATGATTTGTTTTAAAGTTTATAGTGCAACTGTGTATCAGTATCGATTTATTTAATCTGATTTGAATGACTGGATCCTGAGAAATCAATGGCACAAGATATACGTGACAGAAGATTGTAAATGACATGGTTGTCGCATGTTTTCATCGCCTTCTATTCAATCCAGCTCTCGTTGTTTTATACACATCCCAGACTGTAGAGTTTAGCGCCCCCATGTGGTGAAATACAGTCAATACAATGTCACAGTTTAAATGGCTCCTAGCGTTTTAATAATAATAAACATAATATATACATATAATATATGCAGCGATTTTCGAAACAACAATTTACAGTTTAATCAGTCACCAAATAATATAAACATTATAAAATACAGACAGAAAGTGTTGAGTTCCTGGTAGCTACGTTACGGGAAGGTGGGGTGTGGGTTATAACCAATCGTTTGTGAGACCGTTCCTCTCAGCTCATAACAAGTTGAATACTCAGAGATATCTTTCTTTGTATGTAGGCACACAGGGGCTTGTCGACTGAGCGCGAAAGATAACGAGGATGCCTACAAAACAAAACCAACATGTTCGGTACGAAACTGAAGTTCGTATCGTTAATATCTTTCTCAAACTGCATCACCGGAAGTGGGCGACCAACGTCCATTTCACCCACAGTCAGCTGGCGCACACGTGGGGTATTTGAAACTGAAATTGTCATCTGACTGTAAGGCCGTCGCTGATTGGCTGCTGAGCTGGAATGACAATTTTTGGTTTCAAATACCCCAGGAAAGTGTTCTGTGTTCTTCGTGTAATTAGGTGTTCGTATGCAAGGGATTTTTCAACACAAAAACGCCGAATTCGGCCGAATTCTGTTATAGGTTGGCTTAATATAACCCCAACGGATCGTATTTTTGTGAAAGGTTGGTATTTTTGTCCAGATTTGTAGGAATCTGAAAAACGCGTTTCACAACTTGTCTTTTATTTAGTTTTATGCTGCATTCAAGATGGCGGTCCCCATATAGTAAATATCGTATTTATTTTATTATCACGTGTGCGCCAGCTGACTGTGATTTCACCCACTTCGTGCGCATGGTAGCAAAACAACTAGAGAACCTTAAATGACTGACACGAGGTAAGTTGCACAAGAGACAGTAGAGTTTGAAAAGTCTAGTAAGTTATTACGCCCTCTGTTGAGCCGTCTACCGTAAAGTTGAAAACTATCCAGCGCCTTCAACTATTCCATGATGTAGTCATTGCAGTTATTTTCAGTGCAACAACGCCGACACATTCCCGTACCAGCCCAATTGTCGCACCCTTCTGATGGCTTGCATTTTTCACTACATCCACGATCGATATGGACAATTTTGCCAAACGTAGTGACGAACTTGACCTGTTGGAGGACACAAAAATACATTACAATTAGCGTGTAGTTATTTGAATGTCTTTATTATTGTACAATAGGTTACACGTAACGAGTAGTTTGTTCACTGGCATATCATTATTCTATAAACTTGCGTATCAGAATCAAAGAGTAATCTGTGTACATACATAACATAATCAGATAATACTGTAATCTACGTACATACGTAACATAATCAGGTAGTAATCTACGTACATACGTAACATAATCAGATAACAATCTACGTACATACGTAACATAATCAGATAATAATCTACGTACATACGTAACATAATCAGATAGTAATCTACGTACGTACGTATCATAATCAGATGATAATCTACGTACATACGTAACATAATCAGATAATAATCTACGTACATACGTAACATAATCAGATGATAATCTACGTACATACGTAACATAATCAGATAATAATCTACGTACATACGTAACATAATCAGATAGTAATCTACGTACATACGTAACATAATCAGATAGTAATCTACGTACATACGTAACATAACCAAATAGTAATCTACGTACATACATAACATAATCAGATAGTAATCTACGTACGTACGTAACATAATCAAGTAGTAATCTACGTACGTACGTAACAGAATCAAGTAGTAATCTGCGTACGTACGTACGTATCGTAATCAAATAGTAATCTACGTACGTGCGTTACACGTAAAAAGAGTATTATGTGCATATATATAATATAAACGAAGGCTTTGTTTGTCGTCCTAGGAAGAATTATGTGTTCACGCGTTTTTTTAATTAAGATTTTTCAACTAATATCACAATAACAAGATAAATACATAAGCATAAATAATGCTTTCGAATAAAGCCTTCGAAGGTTAATTTAAAGCAAGAAAACATCTGTCCGTCCTACAGTATGTTTTCAGTACCCACAATTACAAAACAAATGTGCGCGATGACTAGAAGCATTTTGCCTAACAGTATCAAATAGTATTATTAATACTGCATTGTTACTTTAAAGTATCAAAGAGTACACTGCGTTGTTACGTAAAAGTATCAAAGAGTACACTTCATTGTTACGTAAAAGTATCAAAGAGTACACTGCATTGTTACTTAAAAGTATCAAAGAGTACACTGCATTGTCACGTAAAAGTATCAAAGAATACACTGTGTACTTATTGAACAGATTTAAAGATTAATCTACATACCGACGAAATTTTATTCAAGTTTAATATGTATGCTTACGCAACAGTGCCAACAAGAAATTACGTCCACTTACGTAACAGTATCTAAGAATAATCTACACACTTACGTAACACGACCCAGAACAGCCAACTCGACCAATGTCTTGCGACTCAGCTAAAGGGTCGTCTCGGCATTCGCCCGATGTTGCCACCGACTTGCTACACAGGATACATTGGAAAGAAGGAATCTCCATTTTCACCTTGTCTGGCTGCTCAGAACTGAGCACGCCTATAAGTGAATAATAAATGACGAAATGAAATTCAATAATAATAATGAAAAATGTATATATAGTTTTTCTGTAATGTAGAATTGTCGCAGTTCGTTTCGTTGCTAAATAGTCGAGGTGATAAAGGTCACATTAGGAACTTTCTGGGAGTATCGTAGTTCTATAACAGCGGTAATTGCCATTAATACTAGTATACTACAATTGGTTCCAAGGTAAAACTTTCAATAACAAGAACGTGCCTCGTCGAGTATTGCGAAAGATCGGTATAATTCATTGGCTCGTCGCAGAGATGATTTGTGGGTATCAGGACTGAACAAAATTCCTTTTGCTAGAACTGTTCCGGAATTGACTGCTGGGATTATAGCAGTTATAGGAACACAGCGGTGTTGTATTCAGACAATTTCCTTGGCTAATATCATCGAGATGTGAACGAAATTAGAATTCGCCAAATAATGTAGAAATTTGAGATCGGTGAACATGGGAGCCTTGTCGAAATCTCTATGTTGCCATTTCCATGGGTCGCGATCAAGAATGAAAAGTAGTGATGATTTTTAAAGTTTCTTTAACAGTGAGTAGTGCACATTGGACATAAAGTTAGGACTTTATTGGTTGATATTATATTTGTCTGCAATACTTGTTTGGAATCCATCTTAGATAACTGTGCCCTGTACCAGTGTGATATCGCATATCACTACAGTTTGACGTGGCTTCGATAAATTCTGTTCGTGTATCATTGTTATTGAGTATTGTGTTTCGTTGATTTTATTTGTTTTAGGTTTATTAATGTGTGTACACTGAACATGTTATTATCAGTGAAAATATAATATAGTTATCATTGAGTTTATGTAATTTTGGTGTGTTTTGTTACTCGTGTGTTTTATTTTTAGTGTGAAATACAGTGCATTTACACTTTGTATTATAAACAGAACACTTTTTGTTGATCACCATGAAAAATGGGAAAATCAGTCAGTTTGCAGTAAATCCTGAAATATTGGAAAACTGAACGTAGCCTGGACCGAGGGTCGTGGTAACTGATGAATTTAAAAATGCTCCTTAATTCAACTTCATGGTTCTGTTGAATGAGATTTGAGCTATACAAACTCCAACGATCTTACAGTGCTTATAGAGGTCAGTGACACGTTTTCTGCTGATCATACAATTTGCAAATGCAAATTTGTTCTGGTGGAGAACACGTTTGGACTACGATTGAGTGGCTGGTTTGGGAGAAAATCGTCTGAAGCGTTTATTTAGGGTGTTGGTGTTTGAAGGTCTATAAGAGTTACTCAGTGTGCAGTGTTATGGTGCCCGAAATTGGGAACCCAAGGGAAGTGTTCAAAAACGTGACGAACTCATGACTAGAACAACAGGTTACATAATAAAACAAGTATATACCATACTTACCGTTTATTAATCCCAACGTCAGTAAAATTATCTGAATTGCTGCCATAATTAAAGAAACTTGTGTTGTGTACTTTGCTTCCGACACTGAAAATTCATATGAAAAAATTACATTAAAGTATAAACTTAATTCGCACAACTTGGACATACTTCTAGTTTGTAAGTAATGTTATGTAATTAACGTTGGATAATTTGCCAGAATTATATCTGATTCGATAATAAATGTTTTGGAGCAATTAGGCTTTCCTAGGGGTGCCAGTCCAGAGTCATGAGGCTGAGGATCCTCAGACTAGTAATCAGTGAATAATTAATATGATCACTGAAACAATTCCATCATTCCATTAATGAAACGTCATTTTTATTCAGTTTACAGTATAACAGCTGCGAATCCACTCATTTTAAATTGTATTGACCGTATAAGTGTATCCACAGTCCCTCTATCCAGTCCGAACACAGCGGGTAATTCACACCTTAGACAATAGCCGTTTCCAGACCGGGGATAGGGACTGTGGTGTATCTAACACGTTCGGATTGTTAAAGCTTCATTGAAAATGTCTATCACCGATGAAAACCAACCACCCATAATGGCGTTTATAACAGTTCCCGCTTATCATCACTGTGAATGTTGCCTACAATCATCATGATATCTGTTCTAGTTAGGATTGACATATTCCATAATGATGTAATTTTGATAATAGAATAGTCTGGTTTATAGTATCAAATTGCTTTAGGCAAATCTAAAAAGATGCCAATTGTATGTTCTATGGTTCTGAGGTTCTGAAAAGTTGGTTCTGAGTTCTGAGGTTCTGAGTTCTGAAAAGTATACACTCTCTTATTGTAAGTCCACATAAACTGAAAGCCCGTCCCTTTTCAGGCATAATTGGTCTTATTTAACAGTGAACGATTCACTGGTGTCAAATTTATATCCAAGGTCCAGGGTCTTCCATCTTCTAGTTGTGTTGTGGTGATGTATCTTTTCCTAAGACGCTGTGTTATGTCGATGTCATTAGCGTTTGTTTTCGGATCTATGTTCTGTAGCACCTTTAATACAATTCTGTCTGTATCTTCATGTCCATCTTCAGATTCGGGAATTCCAGTTATTTCAAGATTTGTTCTTCTGTGACGTTGGTTAAGATCACTTACTTCCTGCTAAAGGTTTGAGATGAGACCACGTAACTCTGCATTTTCTTTCTTAAGGAGCTTATTGGATATTTGAATTTGGTGGAATTGTGTTTTCATATCTTCAAACTGAGTGTTCATGAACTGTATAGATTTCAGTACGCCCTCTTGTGATAGTTTAATGTCACTAATATCTAAACTGATTATCGATAATTTCTCTATGATACATTGCAGATTTGTTGGGTCTTTCTGTTCTGTCAGATCAGTTTTGCTTGATGATTTTTCAGGATATCGAATTGCTTCGCATTTTTTGCATAAAAACAAATCTCCTTGGGTAAATCTGACTCCTTTCGTTTTTGAACAGTCATTGCATTTGTTTGGCATTGTTATGGTAATCTGTTTTCACATCAAGAGCAGTAATCACTTGGCAATAATTGGGATTATGTAACAGTTGAAGTTACCAATTGTTCTTAAACAATATTTCTTGCATAACTTATCATAACTGTCATACCTTTCCAAATCAACAGGAAATAACACTCAACATTTCACTAAAGATTGTCATATTGGCTATCTGGTGTGATTTGCATGGGAACTGTATCTTCACAGAGTAGTCAGTTCTTGTACAAGTTGAAAGACTTAGGAATTTAGTGTAAAAAATCAAGGTAATGCTGAGCCTTGTGTGTGTTCTGCTTCACGTAGAATCTCGTGCTTTCAGATGCAATACTTGATCAGAGTTCAACTCTTTTGGTCCGTGGGTGCAAGTCAACAGGGTAAGCTCTTAGACGACAATCTACAAAGTTATTGCCACCTTCTCATCATCCTTATTCAACAAGTTGTCTATGCCTATTCAGATTGAGACTTCTCCACTTTTAATTAGATCAGCGTGTGATTCATGAGACATCACAACCCTTCCCCCACAAATATCTCATCTATCCCGCACTCTCGAAGACGAACAAAGTTTGGTAGGATGGAATCTCTTGTGCTACCATTTGTTGTATCATTCTTTCAAGCCACATATAAGCAGTAGGTCGTCTCTGGACTTGGTCCCTGCATGCATACTTTGCGGTATTCCTGTAATAACCTCATATTATAGCGCAAATAAATGTGTCTACTTACAGTGGCGAGGCACATTAATTATTTCTCAATTGGCCCAAGCCAACCCCGGCATATGTGACATTGCTCTTCATGGCTTATTTTCAGATCTCAGTGCCTCGGGCAGGGCTCCTGATTATATACGGCCTCAAAAGTGCTTGAAATGCAACATGTTGAAAAACTGCCAGTGATTCAGTGTGACTGAGTGGAAAGACTCCACACCAGAGTCTCAGTCTACCCACTTGCTTGAAGCCTCGTTACTCCAGTGCTGCGAAGAACACAAAATGTTGTGTTAACACTGGTAGCGCCGAATTGGCTAAGCAGAGCATGGTTCCCCCTGTTACTTTGTTTCCTAGTGGACTACCCCTTGGAAAGACCTAGCTGTCAGACCTAGCGATACTGATGCAACTAGTTGGTAGTTTGCCAGCAAATCCACAAGTGTACCAGTTGCATGTGCTCCAGTATATAAGCCAAGCAATGCGCTTCTCGGTCTCAACCACTGAATGCACAGCAGATAAATTCCGCAAATCGACTACTAGTAATCGATTGTACCACTGGGGAAGATACCGAGATTGGTGTCTTCTCAAGGCGCCATCATCTGCTCTATCCCACTATCTTATTCATGGAAGATTCGTTATATCACTTCCTAGAGACCTAGCAGAGGCAGCGGAACGAAATTTTGCATAATTAGGTTTTTATGGGAATATATATATATATATATATATATGGGAATAAATATAGTAGGATCAAAGACCCAGCATGATGTTGTATTTTCTGAAACACACTTCACAGTCAGTAGTTACCAGGCATCAATCACTGTGAGCTCATCTGACAGTGCTGAACTCCCTTAAAAAATCTATGAACCCTATTCAGAAGCACCTGTGTCTATGTGGTCTTGCAAGACGAAATATCTGCTAGCTTTAGCCTCAGGTAGGTGCTGCAGTGAAATCCATCAGTCATTGTTACATGTTTGAGCTTAGGTCAATGAATTCTACCAGGTTTTATTGAAGGAAGGAACCTTCTCAAAAAACATCCTTCACACCCTGGGAATCATTGTTGTAGCACAGCACCTCATTAACCAGGAAAGTACTGAATGATTTAGCAGGCAAATGCCTCGTAATTTTGCCTGTTCAGAGTCATTTAGGCGCCCATTTTCCATCTTGACCATACAGACCAAAGATTTGTTTAATGATTATTTCTGGCTGGTTTTGTCACCAAAGTCCGTCATTTTCGGATGTCTCAGTCCTTGTATGTCTTTCTGTTGGCTCAGCCCTTAAGTCTGCCACTATCAGTATTAATTAAGAACTGTTGTACGTGTTGTTAAATGATAGTTCTTTTAGTCATGAATTTTTTTGTTCAACCTGAAATGGACATTAATCACTGGCCAGGGAAGCCTCATGTCTTTGTGTCTAAGTTCCAAAAACATTTATTATCGGATTAGATGTAATTGTGGCAAATTATTCAACGCTTTTTCATAAAACTGAAAACCATATATCAATATGTATGTCCAGGTTGTATTACTAAGTATAATACATTTCATTCAAAAAATCACACAAATATAAATATATTTAATGCCAGAATGCAAACAAACTTAATTGGTATAAATAATATTCAAATAATATGTGTGTTTGATTGCAATAGGGACGTCATAATAAGAATCTTTATTTGTTCTTAAAGGCCACCGGACCATTTCACAAAATACATAGAAAAATAAATACATAACTATTCCTGAGGTCAAGGGTCACCTCATTTTAATACATTCTTGTCTCAGAATTTATGCTTTATGTACAAACATTGCTAGTTTTGTGATTATTTGGTCAGATTTATTTGACATAATGGAATAAAATGTTTCTAATGTTGGATAAGTATATGACCATGAGGGTAATACTTTTTTCTAATGTAATACATAGGGCATTTTAAAACGAAGTGGAATTCATCCTCTATTTCAAAGGATTCACATATTTTACATATTCTCTGTTCTACCTCCAGTCCCACAAATCTACCCTGTTCTATTTCTAGCCTATGACTAGAGCTCCTGATACAAGCAAGAGCACTTTTTAATTTATCAATTTCTACACAATACAAATATACTTCTGGGTGAAATGAAGTTTTGATATTTCTATATGTCCACATCTTTTCTTTTGAGACAACATCCCCCACCACTTTTGCTCAAATACATCAGGTACTCTGGTCATAAATAGGTGTAAAAATGCATCAAAGTCTCCTGGTCCCTGCCATAGCCATACCTCCCCGAACCCATGCACAGATAATAGATATTTTACTTTTGTTGCCCAAGATTCCCTATCATTATTATCAAGTGAAATAGCCAAATCATATGCTTGTCTAGTGACTCCATTTTGAGACATTCTTAGTAATTTAAACCAGTATTTGAGACATTTCGTAATATGTATGCAAGAAAATTGGAAACCTGCCACATTCTCCCAAAACTACTTCATCGGGTGTTGATGATTTTACCCCCAAAAATGCTTTACAATATTTTAGCTGTACTCTTTCCATCACCTGGTATTCACTATGCCCCCATATTCCAGCCCCATAGCTTAAAACCGGCAAAACCATACTATCAAATATTTTAAAATAATCTTGGTAAGGCAAGCTCCCAGTTTTTCTTATCATACGAAAAATTGTGTACATGAACTTTCGCGCTTGTTGTGTAAGCGTTGTTTCTGCTTTTCCCCAAGTGTTTCTACTTGAAATAAATAAACCCAAATATTTATAGTACCCAACGGTATTTACCGGATTGCCATTTAGAAACCATTTTTCACTCCTTTTTAAGTATCCCCCACGTCTAAAAACTATAATTTGTGTTTTGATCATATTTACTGCCATTTTCCAAGTTGAGCAAAAAGAGTCTAATATTGCCAAAAGTCTCTGCAGCCCATTGGGGGAGTGACTAAATATCGCAACATCATCAACATACAAGAGTGAAAATAAATTAATCAACTCTTGTGTAATTTGTATTTGTATACCTTGAATTTTCCAGTATGCTATTTAGTTCATTTATAAAAAGTGAGAACAAAAAGGGGCTAAGCATACACCCTTGTCTTACGCCAGCACTACATGGGAAATAATTTGTAATACCATACTGGCACTTCATATATGATTTGACTTCTTGTACATAGATTTTAAAATATTCAACATTTTCCCACTAACGCCCTCAATGCAAAAGTCTATACATCAGTAAGTTGTGATTAACTGAATCAAACGCCTTGCTGAAGTCAATAAACACACAGTGGAACCGTCCTTTTGATTTACTTAAATATGTCTGTACCATAACATGAAGAGTGAAAATATTGTCAACAGTACAATAACCCTTTCTAAATCCTGCTTGGGACTCTGTGACACACCCAATAGAGTCTGCCCATTGTACCAACTGTCACCAATCTGGTCTGCTACCCGCATGTACGTATGACATGACAATTGCATTCAATTGTGTATGTCAGTACGTGTTAACTTTCCCATGATATATTACTTTAATCTCCACATTCCAACACCTATATGTAATTTTCTAATATATTGTTTAAGCTTGGACCATTTTCACACTTTCATGCGCGCCATGTCAAATGTCATCACGACGGTCTAGCACTCCTTATTTGGCATGTTATTAAGTTCTGACCAACTACGTTGACTTATGCTAGGCGTCATAGTGACGTCACGATATCACGTGGTTTCACTTATAAATAGAGGGGGGGAACTGAGGTTCCACGGGCTGTGTGTCTCTAGGCGTGGCTGCAAAGCCAACGCATGGGAACCAAGTTCTTATCACTACATGAATTATCAGATTTGTGACACAGCCTTTTATTCAAAATGTACGTACACATTTTACTTAGGGAGTTTAGTAACGTGATTTCTCTGTAATTTGGGGGGTCATTTATATTACCTTTTTTATGTAAAGGAGCGATAAAATCTTTAGCCCATTCCTGTGGAAAAATACCTGCGTCAAATATTGTATTAAAAGCAAATTTCAAAATAGGGGGTCATCTAATATTTACTACCTTATACTAAAATATGTTTGGATAATTAGAGTACTAACAGATTTTCACTTATGGTCCGGTTAGACTTAAAATACACCACGAATATTCACTTTTGAGATATAATGTTTGGTATGTGTTCTTGGATATCTAAGCTTCGTCGTCCTTTACTTCGTTTAGTAATTCGAACTTCCCAGTTTGCGTAAAAAGGGAGAGTTTCGCGATTTCGACATCGAAAATGCCTTTGCTTCATTATTTGCTGAGGGACGGCTGCTTAGGTATGTGCTCTGTAACTTGCAGCAAATGAACCTAAAAACGTTAGGTAATCAAACAAAAATGACGTTGTACTAAAGTCCAAAAAGTACGTTCAAGTTCTGCATTTTTTCGTAGCATAAAAACGATTTACTCCCTTGCTTATTGTGACACCTTCAAATCAACTGATTTCCATTCCCCTCAAGAGTCAAAATGGTATGTGCCTCCATTTTACGCCACGACTTGAAAAAGTCTTTTTTGCTTGACGTGTTCATTTGCCTTTAATTGCGTTTCAGTGGCTGTCACAGTCGTATTCTGAGTCTTGCCGATAACATTTTGGTTCAAATTCACGTAGATATCGCTGAGAAAACTCAAATTTTCAACTAAAGCTAATTTGCATAACAATGTTTTTGCCCTTGGTCGCCATATTGGACACCCATACAATTAGTTATTTACAGATATGACCTTGGTAGTACTTATTAAGCTTAAGTTAACACATTCAAAGTCATTATATGCAATGACAGGAAGTTGTAATTGATACCATCTGTTTCAATTGAGTAAGTGATCAGATGCTAGGCAGACTCCAGTGAACTAACATCCTGTAACAGCACTGTAACGTTTTTTTGGGGAAAGTCCAGGATTATTGAAGGAACCCGTTTTTGACTGAGCTGCTTTCGTGTTTTGACGCCTGATTGACACCTGCAACACATATTCATTCTATTTTTTTTTCAAATTTCA